CCTCCAAGGTTGAGAAGGGAGAGTGTTGACATATCATGGGGTTATTAACCAACGTCATAAAACAATATGTGTACTGTTTAATGAGAAACTATTTGTTCTGTAAACCTTCATCTAAAGTACAATAAAAAAATTTTATAAAAAAACCCTCCTTTTGAAAAGTACCTCTCTCCCATTTACCTGCTCCCTCCCTGATCTGCTCCAGTCCTGGGTCCAGCTTTGGAGAGGGAACAAATTAACAAACAGGAAAAAATAATCTGCCAGCTCCCCTAAGCCAGGAACTCAGGACAGGCACAGTCCCCTTGCCTAGGCACAGGCATAAGGGGTCCATGGACTTTGAATGCCTTTCACCCGTGCATAGACCTGTGTGGGCCCATTTCAACAGCACAGGCCCTTTTTAGCACAGTACAACAGGGTATACACTTGAAGCCCATTTTCAATGTATCAGCTATAAGGGGGAGTGGCAAATTCGTGACATTTGACACTGCCCTGTCCATTAAGCAGGGTCTTCACCTACCCACATAGGGGACCTGAAGACTGGGGGCTCCACCCATGCCACCTAGCCACCCGTGACAGGGGACCAAGAAAAAGTGGTACCTCCCAGTTCTTACAGACAACAGCATTGGGTGCCCATAGTCTGGCTGCAAAACGCACCCACCTACACACTCTAGGAAACAGGGGCACATCTTTCACCAAGACACTCAGGTGCAGCCTGAGTCAGCCCTCTGCCTTGCTCAGCGTATGACCCCCTAGTGCAGCTAGATACCTGTGCCTACTCCAATCACCCGGTTGTCTAGGACTGTAGGTGACAGCCTGCACCACATCCGGTGACCAACGACCTGACACCTGAGCTGGATCCACACAATTTAAAAAAAATCATGGTCGGGTCAGGTGCACCTTAGTCCTCAAAGTGGTAGTCCTCTGTTTCTCAACACTTTAAAGAGGTATTTTACAGATTTGCCCAAGGCAATATGTCCATTGTTTTTTTTTTTTTTTTTTTAATTGTGATTTAAGTGAAAGTTTACAGTTCAAGTTAGTTTCTCATACAAACATTTATACACAGGTTATGTGACCCTAATTTCTCTCCCTATAATGTGACAGCACACTCCTCCTTTCCACTTCATATTTCCCGTGTCCAACCAGCTCCCGTCCCTTTTTGCCTTCTCATCTTGCCTCCAGGCAACAGCTGACCATTTAGTCTCATGTCTCTACTCGAGCTAAGAAGCACTCTCTTCACGACTATCATTTTAAGTCTTATTGTCTAGTCTAATCTTTGTCTAAAGAGTTGGCTTCGGGAATGGTTTCAGTTCTGGGTTAATAGAGAATCCGGAGGTCATGTCTTCTGGGGTCCCTCCAGTCTCAGTCAGACCATTAAGTCTGGTCCTTTTACTAGATTTTGAGTTCTGCACCCCACTCTTCTCCTGCTCTGTCAGGGACTCTATGTTGTGTTCCCTGTCAGGGCGGTCATTGGTGGTAGCCGGGTAGCATCTAGTTCTTCTCGTCTCAGGCTGATGGAGTGTCTGGTTTCTGTGGCCCTGTCTCTTGGGCTAATGTTTTCCTTGTCTCTTTGGTGTTCTTCATTCGTCCTTTGATTTTCTGACTGCTGCTTCCATGATCATTGATTGTGAATCCAAGTAAAATGAAATCCTTGAAAACTTCAATATTTTCTCCATTTATCATGATGTTGCTTTTTGGTCCAGTTGTGAGGATTTCTGTTTTCTTTATGTTGAGGTGTAATCCATACTGAAGGTATAGTCTTTGAACTTCACCAGTAAGTGCTTCAAGTCCTCTTCACTTTCAGCAAGCAAGGTTGTGTCATCTGCATAATGAGTCTTCCTCTAATCCTGATGTTATAGTCCAGCTTCTCCGATTATTTGCTTGGCATAGATTGAATAAGCATGGTGAAATGCACGCCTTTCCTAATTTTAAACCATGCAGTATTCTCTTGTTTTAACAACTGCCTCTTGGTCTATGTACAGGAGCACATGTACATGATCCTAATTAAATGTTCTGGAATTCCCATTCTTTGCAATGTTATCTGTAATTTGTTATGATCCACACAGCCAAATGCCTTTGTATAGTCAATGAAACACAGGTAAACATCTTTCTGGTATTCTCCGCTTTCAGCCAAGATCCATCTGACATCAGCAATGATACCCTGCTTTCCACATCCTCTTCTGAATCTGGCTAGAATTTCTGGCAGTTCATTGTTGATGTACTGCTGCAAACGTTTTTGAATTATCTTCAGCAAAATTTTACTTGCGTGTGATATTAATGATATTGTTAGATAATTTCTGCATTCAGTTGATCACCTTTCTTTGGAATGGGCACAAATATGGATCTCTTCCAATCAGATGGCCAAGTAGCTGTTTCAAATTTCTTGGCATAAACGAGTGAGGAGCACCTCCAGTGCTGCATCCGTTTGTTGAAACATCTCAGTTGGTATTCCACATTCTACTGCGTAAATATTATTGTTTATTAGGAAGGAAATGATTTTCCAGACCCTCCTGAGGATGTTAACGCAACACATAGTCTATGTACCATATTTGTTTTCTGAAATATAAAATTCTAAATGTTGTGGACAGTGGACCAGGGAGACAATAGCTAAGACTACAGTGAGGAATGAGCGGGAAGAGAATTTAGTACCCAAACCTTTTTTCATACAATTCTTGTGTGCATCTTTCTATATCAGTGCATTTGGCGCTACTTTAAAATCTATTTGATATTCCTTTGTATACTGTATGTAACACGTATGTAACAGTTTATTCAGCCAATACTGAGAATAGACATTTCCAACGTTTCTGATTTTTTGAAGTTCAAACCAAGGCTAAAGAGAACAACCTTTGTATATACTTTGAGAATTTGTTCAAGTTATTTGTGTTTTTATAGGACTAGCAGAATCACAAGGGCAAAGCAAAGACTGTTTTCAATCTTGACGAATTCTCACATCCCGTCTACTTCCTAGTCACCCCATGAGGCCTTCTGGTGTATATTCCCTTCTCACTGGACAGAACCTGAAGAGCGAAACCTTCCTGAAGAAAAGCCCTCTTAGTTTGGGCCTTCATTCACAGCCCAATGGTGGTCACGGCAGCCCTGACAGGAGTCCTAAGAGCTCCATCCTCCAGGTGGTGTTCATATGCCAGGGCTCACACAAAATACATTCACCCCTTCCCAATATCCCCAAAGTCTTAACCCATTACAACTGTGTTACTTACTGGTTATGTGACTTTATCTGCTTATTTTTCAAAAGCCATAGAACTGCATACTAAGAGTGAATTTTACTGAACATAAATTTTAAAAACGGGTATAGAAAAAGAGGAAACAGCAAAGGATATTGAGAAGAAATCACCAATGAGGTAGGAAGAAAACCGAAAGATTGTGGTGACCTGGAAGCCAAGCCAAGAAAGGATATCAAGGATGGAATGACAATGAGGGCTGAGAACTGTTTACTATGTGAAAGTTTCTGATGTAACAGTGTTTTCATTGAAGCAGTGTAGGCAAAAGCCAGATAGAAGTGAGTTTAAGAGAGAATCTGAGGAGAGGACCTAGAAACAGTTAATATAGATCAGCGGTACTCAAAGTAGCCAGTCTTCTGTTACCCATCCTCAAGAAGATAAGGAGCTTGCATCAGAATGTAAACCAACACACTGCTTCCTTCACTGAGAAATCTTATGAGGAAAAAAAAAAGCTGGTCTAAGCAATGCTTAGTGATAGCGTTGATTTACATTCTGGCACAGGCCCTTACCCCTCATGGACTGGTAGCAGCTTGGGGATGACCACAGATCACATTTTGAGGAGGACTGGCAACGCTATGGAGTGTTTTGCTGCTATATAATCGCTCCATTTTTTACAGTTGTTTCTTCTTCTCTAGGCATTGTGAATATATGCCTTCAAAAATTCTTTACCATCATTTTAGTGGGGTTATAGGAGGAAGCAATAATAAATCTGTATGCTCAATCCATCTACCATCTTTACTTACAAATACCCGGTTTCCCTTTGTATATCTGACATTTATTATTTTAAAAAGTTGTACTCCATGTAGAGTTGTAACTTAAATTTTAAAATTTAATATATGTTGAACATTTATTAATTAGAAAGTAATACAGTCATTGTAAAAAATAATACAGAAGCAGAATAAAAAGCCCAAAGTCCCTTGATTTTATTTTCCTCCCCTTGCTCAACCTCTCCACCTCTCATTCTCCTACTCCACAGTCATACGCCCTTCCCGGTGTGAACTATGCTACATTTGTCCTACATTCTTCTGGATCTATTTCTATCAGTTTACACACACACACTTCATTGTTTAACCTAAGTAGAAGGTCTCACATTATACATATATATTCATTCAACAACCTGCCGTTTTCACTTAACAATACATTCGAGTTTCGTGTTGGTCCATATACAGCTACATCATTTCTTTAAAAAACAAGGCTGCAGTGTTTCCTTAGTGGAAACTGTGGGGGTGGGTAGCAATAAAAAAGGAGAAAGAGTTAACTTGATTCAAATAAAACTTTGGTTTGAATCCTGGTAGAAAGAAAGGGGCCTACAGCAGAAGCCTGGTATTAAAATTCACTCAAGTCACTGGTGGCTCTCAAGTGACAAGAAGATACCCGATGTGGCATTTAGGGACTCACTGGTGTGAACTTGTTCACCTGTGTTGCAGGAGGTAGATATTGAACCGCAGTGTTTGAGGAGTAAATTGCAAAAAGAACCCAAAACAAACTAGGAAATATTTCCAACATATACAAACTGAGGACTATCCTTAATATACGCATAAGGGAAGATAACATTTTTTGAGAAAAAGAAAAATATCCCAGGAGAATAATAAGCAAAGGACTTGAATACACGCATCACAAAACATTTATGAAAAGCCGAAAACTATGGGGAAAAAAAGCTCAACTTCATTCGTACTTAAAGAAATGAAATTTGAAACAATGACATTATTTTTTTTAATCCATCAGACAAGCTATGGTTAAAAAGATTGATAACAGCCATGATTGATGACTGCATAGAACAAGCAGTATAAATTGGTATAATCCCTGGTAGTGGGATTTCAAATAACTTTTTTCTTCTCTGTACTTTCCATTACCAATTTTTTAAAAAAATGAACTTAGAAGTTTCTAAGCCATGATGCTATTGCCATTTAAATAAAGTCCCAAAATTAACACTATATAAATATATATATATACACACACACACACACACACATATACATATAATAAAATATTACTACATCTGCTCCAGCTCAGGGACACGTTTCTGCTTCCCATCTTTCCTCGACATTGTACTGCAATCTGATTCTCCTAAATCTGTCACTCCGTTGCTTGAAACCCTTCAGTGGGTCCCACGACCAAAAGGATAAAGTACAGGCTCCTCGGCACAGCATCAAGGCCCTCCAGCATCTGACCCTGTCCACCTCTCTGCTCATGTCTTGCCTCACACTTTTGGTTCAAGCTATACATACTGCTTGCAGTCCTTTGTAGCCTTGCCTTGCTTCTCTACTCATTAATTTGCCTGGAATAACTAAAACTCTCTACCCCCTAGGGTACTCTTTGACCTGGAGTGCCTATAGGACCTTGGGTTTGCTGCCATTATTTCACTTACACAGAGCCTAGAAATCCCGCACCTCTCCTTCCTTAGAATATAAGCTCCAGGCCAGAGTCTGTCTCATTAATTTCTGTATCTACAGGGATAGCACAGTGCTTGCCTGGTGTATAAAATGCGTAACAGTTAAATGCCTGTTTTGTTCATTTGGTGCTTCCTAGTTCCTGATACTTAGTTTGATTTTCATTTATTTTTTGAAATGTTCACTATTGAGTTTAGAAAGAAGTGTTGGTGATTACACATACTGTATCACATCAGAACCTGAGTATCCTAACGGCTATTCCTTTCTCTGTAAACCAAAGTTTATCCCATCAATCTTAGAAACTGATTCTAGATCCAAACTGAAGAATTAATCATCTACTACCCATGTTCTCCTTTTGAAAAGAAAAACAGCTGCAGGCAAAGTATATAGGTTCTTCCAGAACACAGAAACAGATTTCCAGAGAAGGTAATGGCTTTGAGACATATGTATTACAGGGAAAGGAAGAGAGGAAGGAAGAGAGCGAGGGAGAGAGGGGAGGAGAAGTCAGGAAACCTGGATACCATCTGAACTTCAAAAATACAACTGTGGCTTTAGCTTGTGAATATTGTGATTTTGGGGGATTCAGCTGTATCACTGGCAGGTGACACACAATCCCCTTTATCTTAGCAGGAAACTTTCACATCGAATATTGAGTACTCAGCTAATGACCGAAACAGGTCAACAGCTACCTGATTACAGATATCCCTTCTCCCATACTAAGCTTTCAACCACAAGTTATTTCTAAGGTAGCAGGTAAAGGTGCTGATAGCAAATTAGTAAACAGAAGTGGTACATGAGAACACTGGAGAGAGATGCCATTTACTCATAAAACTACTTACTTCACTTGATCCAGAGAAGTAGATATATTTAATACCCTTACTAAATTGATATAATATTTTATTCCTATCGCAATGTTTAAATATAATCCAAGACTAAACAGGGTGTCTTTTTTTTCTTTTTTGTTGTTGTTGGGTGCCACCGAGTCAATGTTCGACTCACAAGCCATCCCGTATGACAGAGTGAACTGTCATATGTATTGAAGGGTTTTCCAGGCTTCGGTCTTTACGGAAGCAGACCACCAGGTCTTTCTCCTGTGGAGCCACTGGATGGGTTTGAACTGCCAACCTTGCGGCTAACAGCCAAGCGCTTAACCATTGTGTCCTCAGGGCTCCTTTTTTCTTTTTAGACAGACTTAAAATCATACTGAACTTACTGACCCAACCAAGGTAAGGCCAGCACTGAAATACATGGCAACTTCTTGAAGAAGGGCAAAAAGAAAGACAAAGTTGTCAATTCTTCTCTGAATTCTTCAGCTATTGCCAACGGAAGGTGCTGCCAATGGAACAGGCAACACTGTTTCGTCTAACACCAGTCCATGTAATCTTCAAATTTTATTTCTGAAGAATGGAAAACTGTAGGCGTTTACATAGTAAATCACCTAATGAGACCCTCAGTCCTACAGCAAGGACATTCTTCACGAAAACAACCTGGGCCAAGCCGTCATCCAATAGACATAAGCACATAAAATACATAAGGTTCTGTAGAAATAAACACATTAACCATACAAAATAATGACTTCTCTCATTGGTTTAGAAGTGGAAAGAACTGATCAAAACCCTGTTCGAAATAGACTGTCACATCGGACTTCCTCCATAATTAGCCAAATTATTACAGGGTTCTAAAACATGGGGTCACCTTAGCCGGAATCAACCCAACGGCAATGGGTCTTAAGGTCATGTGGAAGAACTGTTGGCCGTGGAGACGTTTAAACTCTATCTCTGACTCTAGGACAAACCAAGGAGCTAAATCATCTCAAAATGTGCAAAACAGATATTCTCTCCCAGTCAACAAGGTTTCTACAAAGTGCCTCTCAAACGATTCACAGGACCTACACACTGAACAGCCACGCAGGTGAGAACCAAATCCAGGTTTCCAACATAAATTGTAAAATGTTATTCAGCAAAAGCTGCAATTCCCTATGGCAGCTTGTCAGGCAGTCAGTCGGTCTTAAATTTCTCTGGATGCTTCTTGCAATTGCTGTGATGACTCTGAGCATCTCACACTCTACCTGGCTGAGAGCCGAGGTCAGAGGAAGTGAGAGCCAACAATCGCTTACTCAACAGTGCGTTGTGTCGCTTCAGGTATACTATTATGTCTCCTTGCTTTTCAACAATTTCTTCTAGACTCGAAATAGTCCTGCAAATAGTGAAGATATGAATGGGTTACACATATTCGCCAATACTCATTAATCTCTTTGCAAACAGGTCCACACCAATTTTCAGTGCAGTACATTATATTTGTTACTTTTTCTTAGAGGTTCTAAGCCAGGGAAATTTTCCAAAATGAGGTTCTTTCGTGGCCAATGTTAGTAACTTCCTCTTTTAAAACAAATCTATACATTTCAATTTAAAATTAAGAAAAGAATTACACAACTCTTAATACTTCAAAAAGACCATTATCACTTTTTATAGGAAGGATTCTAATTTGTTAGAGTATGATAATGGAATCTAAGTGATTGATAGAAATGGTAAGATAAAGCTCATTGAATAATCAAGTGATGATCTATCATTAAAAAAGATGACTCTGCCTCCAAGGTCGAGAACAGAGAATGCTGGCATGTCATCAGGTTGTTAACCAATGTCATAAAACAATATGTGTACTGACTGTTTAACGAGAAACTATTTGTTCTGTAAACCTTCATCGAAAGTACAATAAAAAAAAAATTAAAAAAAAAAAATTCTGACCATGACAGGCATTTCAAAAAGCATGCATCGTCTTTGTTTCTGCATATAAAACAAATTAAAATAGTAAGAGTATAAAATTCTTCCCCTAATTCCTTCCTACACCACTCACACAGCCCACTTTGGTCTCATCCCTCGGAAGTAATATCTATAAATTGTTTTGAATTTCCTTCCATTAATTTAAGGTATCAGCATAAGGAATGGTGACAAGGATAACTAATAACGATAAAAATGTACCAGATGAATTTTGAACGTTGTGACTAAAAATAACCTGTTCAAAAAAGACATTTAAAGAAATAACATTTTTTTAAATTCTTCCCATACAAAAATTTATACATTGTTATGTGACTCTAATTGCTCTCCCCATACTGTGACAGCACACTCCCCCTTTCCACCCGATTCCCCATGTCCATTCAACCAGCTCCTAACCCTCTCTGCCTTCCCATCTCACCTCCGGACAGAAGCTGCCCATTTGGTCTCTTGTATCTACTTGAGCTAAGAGGCACACTCCTCATGAGTATCACTTTATGTCCCACAGTCCAGTCCAATCCCTGTCTGAAGAGTTGGCCTCGGAAATTGTTTTCATTCTGGGCTGACAGAGAATCCAGGGGCCATGCTTTCTGGGGTTCCTCCAGTCTCAGTCAGACCATTAAATCTGGTCTTCCTACTAGAATTTGAGATCTGCACCCCACCTTTCTCCTACTCCATCTGGGACTCTCCATTGCGTTCCCTGTCAGGGCAGTCATTGGTGGTAGCTGGGCACCATCTACTTCTTCTGGTCTCATGCTGATGAAGTCTCTGGTTAATGTGGCCCTTTCTGTCTCTTGGGCTCGTACTTTCCTTGTGTCTTTGGTGTTCTTCATTCTCCTTTACTCCAGGTGGTTGGGACCAATTGATGCATCTTAGATGGCCACTTGCTAGCTTTTAAGACCCTAGACACTAAAGAAATAACATTTTTCCTTGTATATTCTACATATGTTGAAATGGAAACATTTTCAAGGTGCAGAATACTATGCACAGAATGGGCCTAAGAGAAAAAATATATATTTAAGTAGTTATGTATATTAGCATAATGGTTACAAGTGTGGGCTCTGGAAACAGACTGCTTGAACTCCATTTCTGACTCTGCCACTCACAGGCCATGTGACCTTCATAAGTCATCTAAACTCTCTGGACTTCTGAGAGTAATGTTTGTTATTACAACAACAAACATTAGCACTTATTATGTGTCAAGACCTAGTAATTCCCTTCCTCTCCCGTTTTCTGAGTGAAGCTACTCATTGATAAAAATTATCAGTATGAAGGTTTTGAGGTGATCTTGATGGAACTGGGGAGGGGTATGCTGTGAGTGGTGTCAACACCTACATAGTATTAATTAATCTTCCTGTTCCCTGCCCTGTGTCTCACTCCCAATGGCGTTCCATTTATTTCTGAATTCCAAACCCTCCAGGGGTTCCTCAAAGACGATGACTACCTCTAGGACTCCATTTTTCATCAGTGTTCCTTAGCCTATATATTTTTAAGAGTCACCCATCCACTGACGGCCCCTCTCTCTTCCAGTTTCTCTGTTAATGTGGACAGGGTGGCCATTTTTCCTCCTTCACTATTATTTTGGGGATCTCGGGAGGATGAAGAGATAAACATGTGGCTTGATCCACCTTCTTTAAGTGGAAGTTCATTCAAATTTTCAAACTAAGATGCATTTTCAAAGACGCATTTCATAAAAATCTTAAGATTAAAGGATAAATAAACTAAGTATTGACATAAATTATTCCTATACAGGTAGTCCTCGACTTACGATGCAGTTCTAGTCCAACAGCTCAGTCGTGAGTAGGTTCTGACGTAAGTCAAATACCTCATTTTGTTTTTTTCATTATAACTGCCTTTTATTATCAGTACCTTCATAAATCTGATCTTTATTTCTCTTTGGGGGTTGGAAACATTACATATAAACTTACAGATATATTTTCATACATAAAAAAATACACAAATCATAAAAATTTACTCCATGAAGAAGAGCTGGACGACGTTGGCATTCTGTCAGTTGTGGTAATGACTCCATTTGTGGAAAGTTGTGGAACATCTGGATTATCCCTGGGTGTGGGGATGACATTTCTAGTCAGATAATTAGTGAGAGTTGTCTGTATGGTCCTTTTCTTTTTTTCTTCATATATTTTGTGGTAACATCTCACTGCTTCCAGAATCTGCCTGTCAACTTTAGCAAAGCGGTCAGGGTTTGGGTCCATGTTTTTAAGCAACTGAATCACCTGATTTAGTTTAGAAAAAACTTCAGGTAATCCTTTCACTGTAAAATTTTATTGACAATTTCTCTCCTTCCTCTCCCTCATTCTTTCTTTCTTCTTCAGCATTTCTTTCCTCTTAAAAATCCATTAAGTCCTGACCTGTCAATCCCCCTTCTTCATGATCTAGGAGCTGTTCCACATCGGCAATATCAAGTTCTAAATTCAGCAACCTTGTCGTATGGACGATTTTTCCACTGATCTCTTCCATCATGTTATCCTGATCAAATGCTTGGAGTGTGGTCACATAACTCAGCGATTTTTTCCATATACATCCACTGCATGCATTTTCCTGTAACTTCTTCCCAGGAAGATGCAATGTTCCAGATACACTGAAGAAATTATAATTCTTCCAGAAATTGAGTCGTTATCATATCTCCATCTGCTGCAGCTATTGTCTGAGCAAACGCAGTCCATAGGTAGTACGCCCTGAGGGTGGGGACTGCACCTTGATCCATAGGCTGAATCACAGATGTCCTATTGGGAGGTAGATACACCACTTTCACATCTTGATTTAGATCATCTGTGTGAGGAGGGTGTCCTGGGGCATTATCAAGTAGCAACAGAATCTTGAAGGCAATGTTCTTTTCAAGGCAGTAGGCACCCACTTCTGGGATGAAACAATTTAAAAACCAGTCTTCAGATAACACAATCATCATCCAGGCCTTCGAGTCACTCCTGTAGTAGACCAGCAGCTTATTTTGAATGCTCAGGGTTGTCAGAACGGTAAACAAGATAAGGTTTTAATTTCAATCCAGCAGCATTTCCTCCAAGCAACAGCATGATTCTGTCTTTAAATGCCTTGAAATCAGGCATCTTCACCTCTTTGTGAAACAAGCCCATTTTGTCCATGTTGAAAATTTGCTCTGGAAGATACTCTTATCTCGTCCAGCTCAGCATTGAATTTTTCCACAGCTTCAACACCTGCACTTCCTGCTTCCCGAGTTATACACACAGTATCTAAGTCAGACCTGCATCTGAAGTGATAAAACCAGCCCTCGCTGGCCTTAAAGGACTTGCAGGTAATCTTCTCCTTCCTGTTCCTCCAGGTTTTCAAAGAGGCTGCACCTTTGGTCTGAACTGTCAGTAAACTCACAGGAATCCTCTTCTGGATTTGGTCTTCTATCCAAATCATCAACAGCTTCTCCATCTTGTGGATTGGCCCTTGCCTCTTCTTTGTTAAACTGTCGATTTTATGCCAGTATCTCCTTTAACTGCCTCCAAAATCCTATTCTTATCCTTAATGATTGTCAAAACTGTCAAATGAGACAGTCCGTCCTCACGTGCTATTTTACCGACTTTCTTTCCATTATCATGGGCCTTAATGATCTTCGTCTTTTTACCCATGTCCAGAGGCTGCCTCACCTTCTGTTTTAGATTAGAACTTTTACTGGCATGACTTCTTTTGCTAGACATATTGTTGGGGGTATAAGCAGTGCAGGTGTTACAGTCAGAGAAACCTGAACAACCTGGCTTCAAATTAACAACTGATGCTTCTTACGGTATGAAACACTAAATAAGATCAAGCTATGGGCATGGTCTTGCTGTGATGCTGGAAGCTACGCCACCAGTACTTCAAATACCAGCAGAGTCACCCACGGTAGAGAGGTTTCAGTGGAGATTCCAGACTAAGACAGGCTAGGAAGGACTTGGCGGTGTATTTTTGAAAAAACTGGCCAGTGAAAATCTTATGAACAGCAGCGGAACATTGTCCGATACGCTGCCAGAAGATGAGCACCTCAGGCTGGAAGGAACTCAAAAAACAACTGGATATGAGCTGCCTCCTCAAAGTAGAGTTGACCTTTATGACGCGGATGGAGCCAAGCTTTCGGGACCTTCATTTGCTGATATGGCATGACTCAAAATGAGAACAGCTGCAAACATCCACTAATAATCAGAAAATGGAATGTATGAAGTATGACTCTAGGAAAATTGGAAGTCTTTAATAATGAAATGGAACGCATAAAGATCAATATTGTAGGCATTCGTGAGCTGAAATGGACTGGTATTGGCTGTTTTGAATCAAACAATCCTATGGTCCACTATGCTGGGAATGACAGATTGAAGAGGAACGGCGTTGCATTCATCGTCAGAAAGGACACTTCAAGATCTACCCTGAAGTACAACGCTGTCAGTGACAGGATAATATCCATAC